GCCGTCGTTGAATTAACTTTCATAGTTATAATTTTCACATTTAATGTCCAATTGTCCACACATATTGCGGAAATTTTGCGAAATTTGCAATTTGCAATTTTATAATTTCGCTTGCCCTTCGCGAATCGTGACGGTTTAATGCACGCCGTAGTTTATGCAACGAATCATTATTGCAGAAACCAGCTAAAAATAAAGCCAAACGGAGTCCCGATATTCATCATACTTCCTTAACTCGAATAGTCTCCCCGGTTATCTCGATTTCACGCAATTATATCTTACTTAAATCACTCGGTTGAAGACAAATAAATCCCAGAGACAATACGAGTCGGGAGGAAAAAACTCTCCGGACCACGATGGAATATCCATACTTCACTCTTTATTTATTTCCGGCGCCACGATGTTGTTCTTAGCCCTTCGGTCGCGGAGCAAGTCCCTCTGAAGATCACTGTGGCGCGACTTTTTATCTGCAGGATTAACGCGACGATAATAAAGACGTTTTAAGCGCCACATATATATACAAGCACGCGCAGTCGCTCTCGGAGAAAGAGAGAGAGAGAGAGAGAAAGAGAAGAGGGAGGAGAGAGAGAGAGAGAGAGAGAGAGAAAGCAAAAAAAATATACAGCGCGACCAGCGCGTGCGGCCGGGAGTTTATTTTCGACCGTAGAGAATGAAGGCACAATGCACTCGCGTATGCACTGGCGTCCGTATCCCCCCCCTCCCCTTCGTCCCTCACGCCACCCTTTTGGTTTGTCGCCTGGGCGATGATCGAAATCGACGCATTTTAACTGTCATATAGCGACGCGCACGAAGCAGAAAAAAATCCAACGAAAAACACGCAGCATTTATTTTTCAAGCCGAGCAATAGAATCGATATGTTCTATCGAGTGAAAAGATCGACTGACCGATGTTTTTCAATCCTCAAGAGCAACATGGCACCGCCAAATATTACAGCAGTTTTTTTACATATCTGTGTTTTTATATCGCGGTGACATATAAGCTGTGTGCAAGCTCGAAAGGGAAACTCGGAGAAACTGACTTTCATCAATCCGGAAATGGGCGCGCGGCGTTCTTTCTCGCGGAATGTTCCTCCTCGTCTCATTTAAAAATCATTTTGTTATCGCTATATCGCGCATTATTAACATTACAAATGTGAATTTCTTTAATTAAAAAAACGAAAGATAAAAAATGCATAGTAAGAGAAAGCGGAGTAGAGTAGGAAAGAATTATTAACGAAACTACTGCAAAGTAAACTTCACCGTTGATATCAAGAACACCCGATTCTTGAATTACAGAAGATGCGATACCGTTCGTTGTAAGCCTAATCTTTTAATTAGAAAGCTTATATATAATCGCGACCTTTAAAAGACACGAAGAAGATTACTCATTATCATATTCTATCGTTCGTATTATTTTTAGCTGCGACAGTTAAAGTAATCCTTCGGCGAAACAAAATGGCACAGTAGTCAAACTTCCTTTCTGCTTGCAACGCGACACCGGCACGCACGTCAGAAAATTTTGATAAGCGACAAGAAGGCAAAGGACGCGCGAAGCAACGTCGGATTGTCCGGCGCCGTCGCCGATCATCTTAATCAGCATCGCAAGCGCGTTATCTCGCGCGTTTGAGCGATACACGCACGTTCCGCCGTCATCGGACACCGAATACCGAGAAGAGCGACAGCGGTTCCGTTATCATTTGTCGGCGGCGCGATGCAACTGCAGCAAGTAACAACGCGCGCGCGTCACCGCTGACGCACCGCGTCGTCGATCGGCCGGGGCGCGATTCTCGGTCGCGCTGCGTTTCTTAAAGTGCAGCGGATGCACTTTGTGCGGAGGATGCTGACGATCTATCTGTATCTGTCTCACCCCTGCGCATCGGCCGGCGTAAATAATCGCGCTGATTACGAGCGGAGCCTTCCTGTTATCGTCGCTCGATTTTCGGTATGCAAAATAGTCGTGGCGCGTATCGTCCCGCGGAGGAGGCTTTATCTCGATCAACGTCTCATTGTTTAAACTTTGTTACGGCAGGCAGGAAGCGAGCGGTCGTGACGATTAAGCGCGCGGTGGTGGTATGGGCGTTTCGAGAATCCACATGTTTAGATCGATCTTATCTTTAACGCGATTCCAGCCTTATATACTTCCGTTCGCGCCACGCGCACGCGTGTCGATAATTACGACGAACCGATACCAATTAATTTGCCCGCCACGAGCACATGTAATCCATATCCTTCCATACAAATTGCTGTGTAGATGTTTATCGTTTTGTATACACAATTATATGCAATAAAATTATATGCAAAATAAAATAGCTCGTAAAAAAAAGATTAATTAGTGAAAATCGAATTATGGTACGAGCTAATGCTGGCAATTTATTATTATTTGTAATTATTATTATTATAATTATTGTCATTATTATATATTCATTATCGTTCGTCCTTTTAATTCTCATTATCCGACGGGAAATTACGTTTAAATTCACTATCGACTATCGCTAGTAAACACGCCGAACACTGTTTCCCCCGAACTACGCAGATAAATCATTATCTCTTAAAATTTATTTCGCCCATCAATCTATTTTTTGTTTTTTTGACGTCACGGTAGTCTGTGTTTCGTCGAGCGTGCGCGTTATATATCGCGTCGAAGCGAGGTAGTTAAATCGTTCGATAACAGCTCCCGGGGGAGTTGTACGGTCCCGTATTTGACGTTTTTTGCCTGCTGCAAACGCCCACAAGACGCCCCTGTCCCGAGGGGCTCGCCGGGACGCCGCCCCAGTATGCGTGGCCTCAACTTAATTTCCGACAGCGTGCTGTAATAACGTGTTAAACAGCTAAATAATTACGGTCTTTTAAACCGTCGGATGCGTGCTATTTTCCCATTATTGTAAAACGGTGTTAAATTTTCGTTCGAATTTCTCAAATTGTTTCGTGGAGTTTTTAGTTTTCTATTTTTTATTCTAGTTTCTCTGGTTTTCCATTTCCGTTCAATTTTTTCTAAATTTTTGTTGATAATTTCTAGATTGTCAAATTCGTACTCCTTGTCGTATAAATTTTGAGAGATGTTGAATTAAATTATTCAGAAAAGTGATATAATTGTCGGTGGATTAACAAGCAAAAATGTTTAAACTAAATCACAAATATAGTCACCTCATTTCATAAGTAACAAGTTCGATGAACGAATCGATGCAGTGCAACGAATAATTAATTTGTTGCATAACTAGTGTATTTCAATAAAGATAAAATCAGAATAACGTTAGAAATAGTTGAGACATTTTACATGTCGCAGCTAGATTTTACGATTTATTTCTGTACAAGTCAGAAATAATAATAGCAATTAATTAAAAACATTAATATACCGTTTCCGTTTTGTCGAAATTTTCGTGCATTTTTGGTGCAGTTTAATATTTAAAAACTCATTTTCATTGACTTGTACAGAAGTAATGATAGTATAGAAATAATAGTAATATAATAGTAATAATAATAGTAATAATAATAGTGGAAATGGATTTGTAAAAGTCATCCACCAAAAAGAGAACGTTATGCTCGCGTTAATTAAACGTTAACAGGAATCTGAGTGAAGTGTGTCTTCATCAGAGGATATATAGGATCCGGCCGATTCACGCGAATTGTGGTTACCACGTCCTCTTGCGAGGGAGGAAGTGGGAAGCACCACCGTAGCAGAGCCGGTACACACGTCATGCCGCGTATCGAATTTCTTATGGCTTCTGTGTATTCCCATGGACGGAGGCAGAAGGTTAGAGATGCATACACGTCTACGAGGTGTTCGTGAATCAGCGTGCTCGCCCCAAAATCGCGCGTTCGAGGATCAAATGATGGTGTAAATGATTGCGATAGTTTAATGTTCAATATTACAATTATGAGAAAATTCACCGATTATCGCGAACAGATGTAAAAATTATCTTCGAAACTTAGAGTCAAAGTAATTTCGTTTCAATTCCTGGTCTCGCGAGCAATTCCATCGACAATTGGTCTAAATGGAAAATAAAATGAAACATTTAATTAGCGACGTATAGGTTGTGCAGATTGAAATGATTATTCGAGATTAGCACATCATTAATCAAGGCAGAGTTCGTATCCGAAGATTTACGAACACCGTGTAGACGCGCTTGTGACAATAGGTCCTACAAACCTATCCGATGACTTTGGAGGTATCATGGATAACGCGTGTGCGGCATCATTCGCCGCATATTAATTACAGGAAATCCCACAAAGCACCTATGCTCTCATCATCACCCCGATAACGCAGAAATATCGTGTTCGTATCAACTGCTCGATCGCGTTGTGCGCGATCTTTGTTCACTCTTCTTTACTATAATAAATCCCTTCGAATCACTAACTCCAAAGTAATTTTCATGTTCTGTCAATCTTGATCCTTTTCAACTTCTCGCCTAACAAAGACTGATGATTTGTATATGTAAAAAAAAAGAATAAACTGTATCTAACCAGCTCGATTGTCAGTCGAATGACAAGAAAAGATGTCTCGCGAATTATTAATTACCTCAATGATCATCGTCGTTTCAGTGCTGAATTTTGCGAAAGAATTCGCGAGAGATGAGTTCTGTCAGCGAGCAGATGGCCGAGCCCGGTAGTTATTTATTTATTATTCGCTCGCGGCCACGAGAAAAAAATAGGGCCGCGCGCCCGCGCGCACGAGCATGCATGCGACACGACGCTACGCGGCGGAAGGCATCGCGTTACGTACATAGTTATGGGGCCTCCGCTCGTTTCTAAAATCGGATGTAGAGCAACGACCTTCCAAACAACACGGGACTCCTACGGCCGCGCGCTTCTATCCGCGAGACAGACGAAAATTCCAGTCCGCCAATTATACAATTGCGTGCTCGGGTCCCTTGATATTTTCCCGCCTAAATACCTATAATTTTTTTTCTCTATCTTTCTGTTGCATTGAGACGCGTGCGTAATATTCCAATTGACAATTTATTCAACGGATTAATTAATAAAACGTTTACGATATGAAAGACTCACCTATGCTCGGCGGCCCGGTCTCTCTGCCTTCGGTTTTTGAACCAATTGCTGACCTGCGTGGTGGTGAGGCCGGTACTCTCCGCCAATTCTCGTTTCTCGCGCGGCGATGGATACGGATTGGTTGCGTACCAATCCCTCAGAACGCTCCTGGATTTCTCCTTGAAGCAGTAAGACGTCTCCTCGCCGTCCCAAATCGTGCGCGGTAGCGGAAATTTACGTCGTACTCGGTACTTTCCTGAAAAATAAGACACGATCGCACAAATTGCTCAGTCGAATTGCTTGTTCAGAGACGTTGAATTAATAGAAATGCAATCACAAATGTCTTTTTTGTGGCATTAAATATATTCGACAGCCTTAAATATCTTTAGTATGCATTAATTACACTTGATACGAATCAGTTTGGCGAATAGAAGTTTGCAGATTTGTGCAATGACGAAGGGAACGAAAAAGGAAGCAGAACGGCCTTCTCTACACTTCGATTCTCCTAGCGCGCGCACAGAAACATGCTTTGTTCTTAGTTTCTCCTTTTTGGAGACGGATTTGGTTTCTGGGCCGAGAGTGCAACCGCGGCGTCGTGCGCTACACAGTGCAAATAAGATCGAGCGAGTAAAATAGGGCCAAGTCTATAGCGCTCATTAGCTCGCGGATCGCATTCGGTAATAATTTACTCCGTCCGGCCGTTAACGTTAAAATCGTGCGGCATTTGCTTCGCGCGCATGTTATTAATCGCCGCCGCGCGTGGATGCTTTAGCGCGAAAATAAACGCGGCGGCGCGCACACATCTCGCATTAAAATGCGAGATTTAAATGCCGCTCGCCGATATTGTTTAAGTTTAACCCGCGGAATAATATTCTGTATTGGGGATTGGATAAATCTCGGCACGAAAGATAATGTTCATAAACCACCGTGCGGAATAAATTTTATTAAACCGCAGACTGCATAAAATATGGAGAAATTCCTTTACCGTGCAGCAAAGTTACGTATTTATATAATAATATTTCAGTAATATTCGTGTCATATATTATTTTATGATAATATGGAAGAAAATTAAAATAATATAAATTAGGTCATACGCTCTATTTTAAGTTATTACATTTTATAATATGTATGACGAAGTATGTGTGTATCATATTCTGAAATTTATCTCTACAAATTAACAAAATTATATCTTAAAAAATAATGATAAGTATTTTCAATGCATACATTTAAATGTGAGATTATTAATTTTATGAAAAATGCGAATATACATATATTTAATGCCCACTCGATCGTGCCGCTTGCACTTTCAACGAGTCTAATTATCTCCGAGCGTTGCAGAATTAATTTATCTACCTTCAAAGAAATCTACCGTTGAATAATTTTCAACAGTGAGATTAGCATCAATTAGAATATTTTAAAAAATATATTTCTACCGCAAATCTAATCGTCGTTAGAATAAAAAATGCTCATTTAACAAATCGATTGAACTTCTTACGGGGATAATAATAGTATCTCTCTTTCATCAGGAAAATATTACAGACTCTGTCGAGACATTTACGTCAAATAATCTTTACTGACCTCAAGCAACGTAAAAAAAAAAAGATTTTTACTAACCGACTGCGCCGAGGGGCCTTCCACGCAACCTCTCTGCCTCAATGTAGTGAGCCTTGAGCCAGAGAGTTTGCAGCTTCGGATGATTGTTCGGGCTGAAGGTGTGGCTCTCCAGGATCCTGTAGAGCTCCTTGAATTGGCCCCGATGGAAGGCAACGATCGCCTTAGCCTTGAGCACGCTCTCGTGCCGGTGCAACCTGGTGCACGCCGGTAGAGACCAGAGAAATCTGCTTAGCCTCTCCACAGAGCCTGCCTGCTGAAGAACCTGGACATTCGACACCATCGCCTTGAAGACGATAGACAGGGGGGGCACACTGTTAGTCGGCAAAACTCATCCCGGGTCTCCTCTTATTCTAGTGTATCTTGTATATGTCTCGCATATCACCTCTCTCAGCTGATCGTTTCGTTCAAGGAAGACGAGTCGCGACTGCGACCAGTAGGTCAGTTACTAATGGGTCTTCGGATACTTTCAGGAACTGAGACTAGAATGAATTGATAGGTCGAGTGCGACAATCCGTTTTTGTGAAAAGTAAATTTCAGAATAAGAAGAGCAAAAATTTAAATCAATCTTTCTAAGCCTGGAATTTTTTAATTGAAAAAAAATTGATCTAAATTTGTAATTTTCTTAAATTAGAATTTTTTTAAAAAGTAAGCAGACGCCTGTTGCACTCAACACTTCAATTATTCAGAGTATATATAGGAAAGTTGTAGGATCTGAAGCATCGAATTAAAGTATTATGAATGATATAAATTATTCACGAGAGAGCTGAAAAATTTTTCAATCCCGACGCGAATTAATTCTGACGCTTGAATTTGCAAATTTAAGAGAAAACGTTAATTTCAAGGAAAACCAGTTTGAATGGATACAAAGTTTCTTCGGTTTATGTTACTTTATTAAATCACCTCTTTAAGAAAAACGAGTCAATGTAGTCTCAGATAGGACTGGTTTATGTATGGAATTTTTAAAATTCTTTTTTTGAACACAAGATATAACTATTCGGATTGAGTCTTGGTTAGCTCTGTGGTTTAAAGTAGCTTTTTTGACAAAAACTAGCTGATATAGAGATCTGGGTTAGACCTGTCACACGCTCGGTTGTTTCCTTAATTTTTTTAGCAAAACCAGTTACCTCTAAAGTTATTGCATGAATGGAACCCGTGAAATAAATGGCCTTATAAAAATTTTCCCAAGGTGATTATTTCTCGTAAAAAGGATACAAAAAATTATTTAATAAACGTTCTTACGAATGACAGAATTTTCAAGATTAACAAGTAATGATTATTCATAGTTTAAGGAAATATAAAATATGAATAATTTAGGATTATAACCGGATGTGATATTAAATCGGGATTAAGAATTCAGATATTCAGTTTGAAGGAGTAGGACACCTATCTTCTATGCCAATATATTACCAGTCGAATTTCGATTAGGTAATCAAATTTTTGCGAGCACACAAAAATGAGTTTCAGTATTTCAGAGCGATTAAAATAGTTTGATATGTAATTTTATTTGAGAGATATATCTATACGTAAAATATTCTCAGAAAATCGGTGGTGGTTCTTTATGTCAAGATAAAATTGTAATCAATAATCATAAGTGATAATTCCGTATATCGAGTTTACAGATTTCTCGTAATGTAAATATGACGCAATGCTGTAATAAAAGTTACGGATTTGAAAGAATTTACTAATAAAATTTGGGCACACAAAAATTTATAAAACAGTACTGATGAAAAAAATGCAATAAGACTTGACGATTGTTATTGCATAAAACACTACGCTCGGCATATCTTTGACGTTTAACATTCGTATAATTTCTCGAAACAACCATTAATGAATTTAAACGATCGCGTAACACGATCCTAAGTGGAGCTACACATCAATTTTATTTCATCGTATACTTCAGTTCAGTTTTATCGACACGAATCATGTTATCCTTCGCGCGTTCTCCCTCCGACATAATTAACCACCGCGGATTACGTTTGAGAAATGAGTTATCTATTTACTAGTATCCACACATAAGTCGATTTCGTGTCAGTTTAATTCAATATCATGCCCCATATATATTGCCGGTCTAGATTACCACATTACGCATCTTTAATTTACACGTAACCGATTTGCTAAAAGCGTGATGTCATCGTAAAATCGATACGTACAAATTTCATGCGATGTAACATTTTATACTCGTAATTTTATACTCGTAAATCTGACGTCATTTGATTAATTGTCTTCCAATAATATAAACACAAATTAAATCGATGATCACATCATATCGCGCATTTTTTAAATAATATTATCAACTAAACTAATTTACACTTATAGCTACAATTCATCTTTATACTTGCTTGACGAGAATTTCAATATTACTCTTTAATGTATCGAATTATTCCACTTTATATTTTTCTTGTTCTCTGTTATTTGTCTTATTTTTTTTCTGTTCTCTCAAAAATTTATACAAACAAGCATTGAATTTGTAGTTAGACCGACAAAAGAGAGTATGAGTTTCCTTCTAGCGCGCAAAATTAATAGCCGCGAAAGAATTAACACGGAATTAAGACATCGCCAATTGTGTAAGGATGGATCTTTAATCACCGCTTAATTAGCGATATGAGCTCTGCACACCTGTCATCTTTGTCTGCTCGCTGTCGTCGCCGGATGTCGCCGAATTTCCGCGATACAGTCAATTAATTTCACCGCTTGGCATAATGAGAAATGAGTGTCACATCGCCGTGCGAAGAGAGAAATGTATGTACGACACAGATCTCAAGATCGGATTAAATTGCAGCTACTGATCAGAAGTCGCACTGTCGCAAGTGTCATTCTACTTTCTTTTCAAACTGGATAACATAGAAGCGCGCAATGAGATATCAATTCTGCATTAAAATAATCAAAATATGTGCGATACATTGAAAGATGAATACAAAAAGTTTTTCGTCCTTACCATTTAAGATTTGATGAATGATTATGATTCATCCATCAAATTTTACGAAAAACGAAAAACTTTACAGCTATAATTCATCATTATAATTATTAATGAATCAAAAACACAATTTATATTGATTAAATTATTGCATATTTATATATATTGATGAATAAGATAAGATTTGATAGATTACTGTGACTCATGATGGGTCCTTAAATGATAAGGACAAAAAAACTTTTTCATTGTAAAAATATGATTAATTTTTTATTTAAAATTTCTTTGCCGAATCTTTCGTGTATCAATATACATAAAAATATAAATTTTATTTTCAATTCATTAATAATTGATAAAAATAGTCGACGTGTATAAATTTTTAAAATGTTGAGGAAAAAAAGTTGAGATTATGTAATAGCACAATTCATATGCTGCTAAACTAAGTTTCAAAATCGATGTTCTAGATAATCTAATCAGACATAAATTAAATAAAAGTTATCCAGTTTTCATTTCTCTTTTTCTCGAATCTCTAATTTTCGCGAATAAAATCGATTTCGTCGTGTTTCGACGAGAACGGTAAGATCGATCGACATCCGGTGAAACATGGATTTACTTCGTGCTTCGAAAAGACTTATCAAGGATATACCTCGAATGATACAAGACAACTAGCGCCCACATGTCACAGAGTATGGCCGCAATCACTACATTTTTAAACAGATCGATAGCGACCCCAATCTCGCGAGTCGCGACTTATGCAAGTCGCCGAGGCATCTTTGCACTCTTCGAATATTTTTCTTGCAAATTTTGAGCGCCATAATTGTCTGTGCGACGTGGGCAAGGAGTAGTTTAAAGTCTAGCCGTATAATTACAGCGCTCGTAGGGATATGCAGCACGTGCAAAAATCGCGTTGCATTCGACGCAATCTCGATACTGCCGATTACTTCCGCGTTTGGCATACTCATCTCTTCGCACACTCTTATCTTACAACATTAATATCGTTGAGCCACGTGTGGAAATCGTCGCACATTGCAATCCCTCGTGATCAAATTATTTTCTCACCTTGTGTATAATTCAGAAATTAATATTCACGTAGCGAGTGCGCTTTACAAATAAAAATATCCAAAACTAAATAAATCGTGTAAACAATATATACAAATTCAAAACACATCGAAAGACTAAAATATATTTTGAAAATTTTCAAATGTTTGCATTAAAAAATATACCAAAATAAATCTTCTATGCAATGCACTATATTTTTGTAATTATTTTTGTATCTATTATTAAACAATTTAAAGTGTAATATTTCGCGAAAAAGCTTAATATATTTTGCAGTACATAAAATAACAGAAATATACGCACGATCCAATTCGCTTGGATAGATTCGTCTAAGCAAAGATATTTGCATAAATTTCCTACTATTTTATTGATAGGAACGATTTCGAAATTGAATCATTTGTGGCTACATTCTGGAGGAGAATGCGTCTTGATGAGTCCGCAATAAAGAATAGATGAGAATTTCGCCAAGTGCGGAAGAAATCGTCTTTCTCCCTCTCGAGCAAGACTAGTTAGCACGTGGGACGTTCAATATGAGGGACGTAAACGTCGCGCGCAAAACAATTTACGGTTACAGTAAAATCGTGCAGATTTCATTAAGCGTGTGGCATGCAAGTGAATCCTGGCGCATAACGCTGCACATTGTCGGCGACATAACGCCCGGCATTGTCGCGACGACAATTTCATCACTCCGATATTTATCATCGTCGTTTCTACTTTAAAATGACAATTATTCGAATGCATCGCGCATCAAAGAGACGCGTGACCCAAACTTGTGCAACATTTGAAAAAACTCGCGATGTAAAATCAAATTCTTATGGCGTTTATTGCCAATTGACATTTTCTGTCGCGATAAAATTTTTAAAAAATCTTGCATCTCAGGAACAATTTTGCGAAAACTACAAAGCGGTGTGTCGTTCGCCGAGGAAAGTGCAGCGATCGCTAGCCAAACTTGTCATCGCTCGGGCGTCATCATTTGCAGCTGTGCGTCGCGAATATTGTGCAAAGATGCTCAGCTAACGTAATCCTTCATAAAAATGAAATTGTGAAAGCAAATACTATTTTATTTTCGGTGCGAAACAGCTACGGACCGTCGATGTTGCATCTGAAATTTATAGGAAAATTTATACCGCTTGATCATCGCGACTGGATATAAAATCAGCGTTTACCGTGTTGGCTGAGTATATTGCGAAAGATACTTGTCTCTTCGACTAGACTTTAATTGAGATATGAATGGACCATATGTTATCCATGAACGCAACGCGCAGCGTTCAACGGCTGATTGCACCCTCGCGAACAGACGCGCGACAAGCAAACTAGAGAACTCTAATAAGAGTCACGAAATAGCGTCGAATTTAGTTAAATTGCACAACACAAACAACGTTCAAAAATAATGATTATTCTGCTCAGAAATCCTTCAAATATCAATTTTAATTTTAGTACAATTATTATCATTTAAAGACACAAAAACCGACTTGGTGTGTCAAAACGCTTTTAATTCCGAAATTTATTATATATCCCAAATCGATATGTATTATCATAGAATATACTCGATTGTCAATAATTTTCAATAAAAGGAATCGCGGCTTGACCGTTCTGCTTCTACTTTTTTCCTTCCTTCAATCTTTTTCATCGTTTTCTAGTGATTCCGCTCGTTTATTCATCTCTCTTTCTCGCCATTATCTTCCTAATCCCTCTTTTGTGTTGTTTTAGACGATTTCGTGCCTCTTATCGGAGAACCTTTACAAGACAAGCTACCACACGACTTACCTCGCAGACACAGGCGACTTGCTCCTGCGTGAATCCGAAACTTGGCAGCTGACCGTTGCCGCTGCCCCCGGCGGAGCTCGCCGGGCTGTCCTGTGGACTGTAGCTCGCAGCCCCGGTCGTACCGGGCGTGTAGGCGGTTTCCACCGAGCCGCCCGTCGTAGAGTGCCCGGTCAAGGGCGTGGGCGTGCTCTGGGGACTGTAGTCGCCGGCGGCGGTGCACAGAACGTCCGCGCCGCCGCCGCCGCCGGACGACGGGCCCATCGCGCCCCCGTTGCCAGCGGTGCCACCGTAAGCCATCATGGCATCATCTCCGGGGTCCACCTTGACCCCACGCACAACGCCGCCGCCCTCCACCGTGGTGACGTCCTGCCCGTTTCGCGCTCGCGACCAGAGATAGAATGGACGCCGACGCTCACGGGATCGCCGATCCGACGGCCACGTTGTTCGATTCGGGGGACCTCCTTATTCGCCGCTCATTTTCCTCGGTGCGGATCCTTCGCAAGGAATCACTGCGGGCTGCGCGAACGGCTCGAGCAGAACATTACGCGATGCAGGACCTTCGACGCGAAGCGTCGGCCGGAGAAAGTGTCTCTCTGGTATCGCGATGTCAAGTGACACGAGCTTCAGTTGAGTAAATCTCTCTTTTAAGGGCTGCTTGAAGATGACAGTCTAAAAAGCGCGTCGCGCTATCTCAGACGAAGATGGAGAACACACACGATGTAAGTCCATGTGAAATCACGTGCAATAAAAATGTCTCACTTAAATAATGAGTTAATAGTTATTAATGGTTATTGCGTCGTTTGCCGAAGCTAATTACCAGTTTAATATACGTGATAACTTTTAATTAACGTTTTAATTAACGTTACGCGCAAAATAGTGTTTTTTTCACTTCTATGTACACTCGGTAGCTCTTCGTGCGGTTCAAACGTCATTTGTTAGCTCGAAAATTGTTAATTAAACCATGTCAAACAAATTCAAACAATTGTGTATGTACATTCGTAAATGTTACACTGTATAACTCGAAACGGAGGAGAACTGCGAAGTTCTACATGTTTGATCAATCGCGAGTGCTGGTGTCGAAGCGATCGTATTTCCGTCCAAGGCATCGGTACTCATTCGTTCGCAACGTTGCACACGGATGTTCGCATTCGACGGTTCGATCCCCGCTGATTGTCATCCGATCGTAAAAACTCTACTGATAACACGCCGAAATTCCTGGATCACAGCGTGCGATATTTCTGGATCACAGTAGCCGATGAGGAGAACGTCGCGAATAGAGAAAAGTCCTCGATGGTGCAGAACGAGTTCTTCCAGAGTTCGGTCTTGCGCTCAGCTTCCAGCCGACGGTAAGCCGAGATCTAAAGCTGCGGATGTCTATGTTTTTCCGGCACACACATGCTTTCACTGACGCAACTTCATCCAACACTAATTACACCTTGAATTCAGCAACGAATCGCGATTCCAGCTGGATTCTTTGCGGATGCTTCTCGTACGATTTCGACTGGACTCTTGCCGGAATTCGCTGACGTAATATAACTTTCGGCGATCTTGGAGAGAAAAACGGAGATTCCAGGCGGAAGATTAAATCACTCGGGGAGGAGGGAGGGGGCGATGATGTTTGCTTTGCTTCCGTTGATCTTCTTTTCTCGTCTGGACTCGATCAGCTGAGAATCTTCCGAAATTCTTCTCGAACTCGCGCAGCAGTCAAATCTCTCCTTTCGCGGACACTTTCGCCAAATTGACTCGCGCAGCTCGCGAATCGGATCGCGGATTCCAGCGCTGTTTCCACCGATTCGCTGGCTCTTTCTCGCTTTCGCTCGCACTATCGGCACACAGGTTGCACCGTGAGATCCACGGGCTCGTGTTTCCACGGGGCCAGAGATCGTATTTATAGACCGCTTGGTACACTCGCGAGCGCGCCGCTATTCTTAGAGGCGCCTTAACGAGCGTCTCCCTCGCTCTCCTTGAACCCCATCGACGCCTCTCGTCGCGACGCTCACTTGGAAAATGTCACTAGAATCGTTTTCACCTTCAAATTCTCTTCGAAACTTTCCGATAGAATGACGGAGATGGCGGAGCAGGATCTTCAGAGAGTCGCCGAATTTTCACTTTCTCTCATCAAGCCGCACCAGGTGTCCCAAAAAGTCATCACCGCACTGATCTGTTCACTAGATGACGTCGCAGCGCGAGCTGAAGATTTAATAGCCTATTCTCGTTTCCGCTTCGGACAATCCTCGAAGAAAGCTCGATCGCGCCTTCGCGTAGAACGGCGCGATGGAAAATTCCACCCAGATTCCTTCGACTGATTTACTCGACGTCGAGACGCCGTGTGCCGGATAAGAGAGAGATAAAGTCCCGAGATGTTTATCACCGAAAAGCACACACCGGCTCGAGAAATCAGTCGCGAGTTTCGCGATCCTCGCTGTTCCCAAAATGACTTCAATCAACGCGCACCAGATTGTCTCTCAGAGTGATTCCGGTTCGGCGATCGTGATCCAGATCACTGAAGGAGCAGTGCAGCAGCAGCCTCGGAGCGGCGGATCAATGGGCCGTTCTGTCTCTCTCGCAGCCGCGCGAGAGAGAAACACTCTCCTCACGCGCGCACCAGAAGGGACTGGCGATGCGGCGTGCCGACGAGGAGAAACCGAGTGCGTCATGCGCGGCACGATGCAAATTGGCGAAAGGCGTGGCCACGCTGACAGCTGCGTGATGCTTGGTGCTATTGGCCGCTGGGCATGGTCTCGGCCACCATCCCGCTGCGCCATTGGCCGCGCACGCGCCACCAAATGAGCCTCGTTACGAGTGCTCGGCGTGAGTGTGCCCCGTAGAGGGATAGAGAGGAAGAGCGAAAGAGAGGAGAGAGACGCGAGAGCGAATTGCATCCAGACGCGTATCCTTGCGAGGAGCTCGTTAAATTCCGGCCTTTTCTGGATGTCTGTTCTTTTAATGACGCGCGCGTCGGGACGACGCGATTTTTACGTCGATGCGTGGCGTCGTTACGCATGCAAATTACGCTTATATGTCGAATAAACAGTGCGCTTCGTCGGTTATTTATTTTTCAATCAATTAATCGGGTAGACTATAAAGAAAATATCAAAAGTATAAACGAACTAGAAGGAAAGCAACAAGATATAATTGTTAGTATCGTTACAGATTGATATTTGCGCTGTAAGATCGATTATAACTGAAGTCAAACATAAAAATTGGCGAACAATGTAGTATAATAAATTCATGATGCATACACATATCTTTTATATGTTAATAAATGCAATTTGGAGAAAAATAAATTTGTACAACATTCGCAATAGGTTGTCGCAAAAAATCAAACTTATTTGTCATAGCAAATTTTATAGCCGCATGTCGATAAGAGAGACGTGTTTCATCGCGTCGGAACGCGATAAAGCAATAATCTTCTCGCGAGATAACGACACGACGCTGTTACATCGCCAGAAGCATCGCTGCGATCGTTGAACGAACCATCATACCGTAATATTATTATTCATTATGCGAACGAGTTACGAGGAAAAGCGACACGCGTAGAAAAAGAGAAATGGAGGAAGCACTAAAGATCTCGTTATTAGCGTCGACACATTCGCGCTTGCGAGAAGAAAAGAGAGGGCGGAAAGGGTTGAAGGGAGGGAGACGCGGAGATGGAAGGGGGTAACGGCTTATCCTCCCCGGGGAAAAATCGATTTATAGCACTCGCGGGGTTTATGAACGCCCCCACGGAAGAAAGGTACGTCGCTTAGAAGCTACTTACAACAGAAGTTGGATAAAGTTTCACGGACAGAGCGCTCGCTCGCGTTTTTGCGTTACTTAAGGCACCGCGCGCTCGTCGCCGCCGTGTTCGAGCTAGAATAACACACGTCGCGCAGTCTGCTGCTGCTACAGCGAAATCGCCTCGTCCGATTTAGCGACGAAAAGAAAGCAGCGAAGTCCGCAACGCGTTACGCCGCGACATCGAGTTGTTTGTGACTTTGCGATATCTCTTCTGAGGAGAGATAAACCGAAGAAAACACGGAACGAGAGAAACATATGATAATTCTTGAATAAAAAAAGAATAGACCGAAATAATAAAGTAAGATATAAAAACAAATCGAAATAAAAATAGTCTCATGATGTTCCTCTTTCGTAAGAATTTACGTTTTACTCTTTGAATTTTAGAAAAAAAAAATCTGACATGAGATGCATTAAAAAATAGAAAATAAGTCATAAGATTCAATAAAATATTATCAGAATAAAAACAATATTCTATGAATTTTTGGAGATGTAATAAAATTCTATAAAGAGATTTTAAATTATTAAAATACATAAGGTTTCTCGAATATGTGTTAAGTTTGCAATTTGTGTAACAGATATGTAGAAGCCGTGTATAACGCGGCGAATTGCAAGTTCTAATAAAAGCTAAGCATTAAGAATCACATAGCGCACGTACGAAAGACGTTTTGTTTTTTCAGACAACACACTAAAAAAAATATGACAGAAAAGTTATTTTACTAAAAAAACTAAGGTTACTAAAAAAACTTTCAAACGACTAAAGCTCCTAAAATTGCCTAAAATAATGCGTGCGTTCCAGATTTTTCTTTTACCTCCAAACGAAAGAAGACTACCGTTTGAATTGCGCAAAGGGACTGACGTGGGTCGCTGTCACGCAACGCATGGAACCCCTTCCGCCCTTTCCCTGACGACCCTTGCCACTGACGAACTTCAAAAAAGAACGAACGAGAAGAATAAAGAATTTTCCCTTTTGAATTGCACATCAATTTTGATATTCTTCTCTATCGTATAATAATCGCATTGTATAGCAATTAATCTTTCTGTTGTTCGTCTAATTATATGACGACGCGTTGAGCAACACAGCTAAAATTTAATGTTCTTTAACTTAAAATGTTAAAACAGCTCTGACTTTAATAAACCATGCAATGCGGAATTTGTCGCAATGCACCGACGGCGATGCAGCGCCGTCGGATGCAGTGTACAATTTCAGTCGAGCGACTATCGCGCGGGAATAATTTTCATCATCATATTCTTCTTTTCATATGTGTGATAACATTAAAAATAAATATATACAAAATTTTAAACAAGTTTACAACTGCTTGGACAAAAATATACATTATGATAATTAGCTGAACAGAACTCTCGCGTTACGCAATTTATTTCTTAAATCTGTATTATTCGCGTGATATATCTTATATAATTTAGCAACAGCGTACGTTACATCGCGTAATAATAGACTTGTCGGTTGCGCAGGACTTCCTTCCTTCGAGAAGCGTACAATCGATCCACGAAGAAAGGAATCCCGGCATCACGACGACGGAATTGATACATTTTATTCGAGTTGTATGCGCCTCTCCGCCACCCGTGGCGTCGCCATTCATCCTCGAATATACGGATGCCAGCGGTTTGTGGTCCACGATGAAGTCGTTGACCACACCATAATATGACGTCTAAAGAACCCTCCCTGTTCTCGTCCTAAAGAGCCGCGAAATCGACCGCTCGATTTTGCTGATGGGACAAGTCACACCGATACACATTCGTTCCGATGCGCTTACCGCCAGTTTACTTCACACGTTTGAATGAACGTTGTAGCGTTACGAGAAATGAATAGAATAGAAATTGAGACTAACGATGATCGAAAAGTATGTATGCATAGTACAAATATATATAAAATGTTTTATATTTCCTTAATAAATTAGATTGCGATATCACCAGTGCAAGACTTATCTTAGCAGGTCAGAGGCTAACAATATAACACAATCAAATTCATTCAAAAATATGAAAGTATTATATAACTACGCTTTATATGCACACTTTCCTTATTTATTTTAAATTATTATGAAAAATCAAGATTCTAATCGTTACGTCTTAATTAATTAATAAATGGTTAATGATAAATAATGTTGATATCTTAAAATTATCAGAAATATATGTATATGTATGTAAAAAATAAAAGCAATTGAGATGGGCGCAATCAGAAAATTTGTTGGAGTGTTTCAAAGGGAAAAGGTAAGAAACGAAAAAATAAAAGAGATGATAGGCAATCATAGAGAATGTCAAAAAGAAACAGCTGACTTGGTTCGGGCACATACAACAAATGCCTGAGATAAGACTACCATGATACAATAAATCTTGACAACATCGAAAAGATTCAACAAATAAGATTCGAGGTAATAGTGATAATAAAAATAAAAAGGATAAAAATATGTCTAACATATAGTGTCATTATTGTAAATATGGACATATTAAAGTGAACTGTAGAAAAAGAATTTATTAAAATCAAAATACGGATAACAAAAAGGATTTTTTAAATAAAAAAAATTCTAATGATGAAAAAGACACTTCTTTAAATAATGCTTTTGTAATTGAATCATTAAAATGTTTGACTTTATCTTTATATCAGAGAGATAAAGTGATTTTAGGTGATGGTACTTATGAGTCGGAGA